AGTCAGAAGTCCCAGGGGATAGGTATTCCTCCGCCGCCACCCCCAGTCCACCACCTCTGCTCAGCCTTTATTCCTTCCCATGCCCTCACTTTTTGGGCTGGATAAGTGACAGTTATTTGGTACATTCGTTTCCTGAGTTCTCTAGAAGCATTACATTCATGGACCTCACAATGGTAACTGGTTCCCTTCCCTCCTGTGTCTGACTTCCAAAGGCACTCTCTAAGATCACTTCCCAAATATACTACCTATAGAATCATAAGTTTTTAACCCAGCATCAATGGATTAGAACCATGGGATCCATGAATTCTCTGAAAATTAGACACTATTAATTTTTTATTAATTTTTAAATTTAGTTTTTTGCAAATTTCATACAGTATAGTTTGATCATATTTAGATCCCCTCCCATATCTCTGCACCTTCCCTTACTAAACCCCACCACCAAATATATGTGTGTGTGTGTGTGTGTGTGTGTGTGTGTGTGTGTGTGTGTGTATGAAGACCTATAGAGTCAGGTTTGTGTCCCCAAATGCTCTTCAGTGTGGGTTCATCCATTGGAGCCTGGTTAACCTACTAAGAATCTCAACCTTAAATGAGACTGAATCTCCCCTTCCCAGCAGCCATTGGTTGCCAATGGTTCCTTAGATAGGGTTGGGGTTTCTTACCCATTTCCCCACGTCAATACTGGGATTTTTAGACACAATGTTTTTATGCCTATGGACAGTTTGGTTTTCTGGAGCTACAAGTCATAACCTTCTACTGACTCACTTATGAACTCATAGCCTTTCAAACAGTTAAGGACATGTTACAAATAGTTTTTATATTCTGGGGAATTGAAATAGGATGAAATTGCTCCTGGGTCCTCCTCTGCAGGCTGGCATCTCACCACATTCATCAGCGTCTGTGCCACGCAGCCGTGGCTTCTACTGCACCCCAGCCCCTCCCAACTCTGCAGCACAGCTGTCTCTACGGGACATGCATTCTTTCTCTCCTGTCCCCAGCTATAAAATCTGCATGCTACTGGCTTTAAATCCTGTCTCTTGTACTTCCTATTGTCTATTGTCGTGTGTGTGTGTGGTGTGTGTGTTTACAAATTCAAAGATTTCAGGAGATGTGGTACTCTTCAAATGCATACTCTGCAAAAACACCCTTTCTTTCAAATGTTTTTATTTTCATCACTCTAGTACAGGTTAAGTAAGCATGCATCTACTGGTTCCTTTCCCACTCAAACACAACTATAGACTCAGATCCTAGAAGAATTAATGACTGAGAAAACATACAACACAGTCATAATCTACCAAGCATTTATTGTCTACTTACGATAAATTAGAGTTGGGACAATGTGCAATTGATGCTCCTCGTTCACAGAAGATGTTAAGTTCTTCAGCAGAAAGGTAGCAGCCATGCGCCATTACTGTCTAGAGAGAAGAATGTTCTATGTGGAGTTTATTGCTCAAAAATGCTTGGATTAGTACTCATTACTAGATGCTACAGGAAGAGACAGAGGCAACGACTTGGCTACAACCATCTTTACAAGAACCGTAACAATTGTCTGAAAGGACAAAACCCCTGCATCCAAATCTATAAAAAATTGTATGTCTTAGCAATTTATTTGTTTATTATTTGTTGATTATCGTTTCTCATGCATGCTAGGCAAGCATTCTACCACTGAACCCATCTCAGCCCTGGATCTTGCTTTGCATTTCTCTTGACTGATCTGTAGCACAGTGAAGGATTAGCTAGTTCAGCTACAGCATATGAAATCCAGCCATCTTGAACACATTATGATTTTATCATCTCTACTTGAGAAAATTTGTACCAGTGATCTTGCAAAGAACTGTGGGCTAATTGTTGTAGGTGGTTTTTTGGGATGCTTTGGGGACAAAAGTTATGTAGCTCGGGCTGATCTTGAGCTTACTGTATAGCCCAAGCTGGCCTCAAACTCGTGACCCTCCTGCCTCAGCCTCTGGAGTGCTGGAGTTACTGGCATGAGCCACCATGCCCAACAGAATTGTTATTTATGTTCCTAGTTTCAATATAGACACCAATGATTCTTGACAAATACCACCAAATGAAATCAGGAAATACCATATTATAAAAGCTGGAATTCAGAAAGTAAAATCTATTCAAGAAAGCAGATGCCACACACCTGTGCGGCCTTGCGAACCTTTTTGCCTTGGTAAGATTTGTGGTTTGTTTTGGAATAACACGTCATTCTTTTAAAATTCTTTTTGCCTCAATATAAAATCTGTACCTAATTGCTTTCTTCGTTGAGAGGTATATTTCAATGGGTGTAAAATAATTATTAAAATAAAACTTTCTCAACCTCTCTGCAAATAAAATTAGCATGTAAATTTAAAGTTAATTTATTAATCATATGGTAATATATGTAAAGGAGGATGAAAATTCTGATCTAAAATTTACATTATTTTAGGCAAAGTATTAACCTTTCAAATCAGTTGCATTCATATCTCCATTCACATAGTCATTAAGAAATTATTTACTGCAGCAAACTCTCCAGGCAATGTGTACATTTCACTGAAGGCCAAGGCCAAAGGGTACACTGCTTTAATGAAGTCTCATATCACTCGCATTAATTTTAATTAATTATAAAAATAATACATACTAGGTTTATTTTTTTAATCTCAGCATTTAATAATAAAAACTAGGAAGTCTTTTTTTCTTTCTCCCTCAGGAAGAATCACTTTTAACACTCAGTATGTGTCTTTGGACAGTGTTTTTCCTATGAAAATGTACCTACACATATGTACATGTACATCCAATTATATTGACCATTCTTCTGTGGAATCCTGCACACTTCATTCTTTGTGACTGTTGGATGAATTTATAATTATGTATGTTCTATAATTTAATCAATTCCCTGCTGATAGCCATTTTCAAACTTGCCTATGTTATCAACATGCCTAGTCATATTCTTTAAAGAATGTGTGAAATCTGATGGGGGAGCTTTAGGGGGATTCAGATGGGGGAAGGAGTATAAAGATGATTAAGATGTTTTATATGATACACACAAAAATTGAATAAAAATATACATTATAAACAATAAATAAATAATGAATGAATCTTTAGACATGGATATGTTGAGTCAAAGGAAAGGATATTGATGTACTAACTGAAAGTGTTATTGAACCAAAGGTATTCCTACCCTCCAGTGAAGCAGTTATATTTGCTGCTGGGGATGAAACTTCAGGCCCATGTTACACACACACACACACACACACACACACACACACACACCAGGTTTATTCTAGTTTGGAAAATTCATGTGTGTTCCAGAAGTGTGGAGATTATTTTGATATTTTAAAATTTAAATAAATCATTCTACCTTATGTAGATTATATCATGATATTGAACTTACCTTGTTTGTCAGAAGATTGTTTTTATCATAGGTATCTGTGTAGTCTTTGTAATTGGGGTGTAAGTTTTTCACAGCTTCAACTTCTTCACGATTTTCACTTATATGACTCTTTAAGAAAAGGAATAATATTTACATTTTTTCTATAAAATATTAGATGTATTTCCTGTCTCAAAATGAGTGGTTAGTTTCTACTTACTGATACAAGGGATCATTAACTAAACAACAAAAGACTGTACTTAGGTTTTATTTTTATTATATGAATTCTATGTAACTATATATGAATAAGAAAAAGAATATCATGAACATGCCTCTGTGTGTGTGTGTATGTGTGTGTGTGTGTGTGTGTGTATCTCAGGACAAATAAATCCTTCCAACAAGTCTTGAAATTCTTATCTATAGGAAGAACAAACATAAAGTGTTATTTAAAGAACATCCAGAGCCTAACCACTTGTAGCAACCTGCCCTTTCTGGCTCTGGACATTGAAGAATCCAGTAGCCACCAGAGGACTGGCAATGTGGTTTAGACTGATATTTGAACAGGGAGAGTTGAATTTCAGCCTGAGCCCTGAGCCTAATTGTGTGTCTTAGGACAAGTCAGTTATTTCTTTTAGGATTCTATTTTCTCATCTTTCAATAAAAGAACTATGTTAGATAAATTATTTTATAATTCTCTTAGCTGTAGATATATTAGTTGTATTTCATGTTTGAAAATTTACAGAGCTCCAGTATGTAGGAGGCATGAACAGGCAGAAGAAAGATGGGCCTCTGGGGCCTGGTCCCCACTCCATTCCTTTTCTTGACTTTATGAATGAGTACTTTGGAAGAAAAGAATTTGAAAATAACAGAGCTGAACAATTCTGCCTTCATCAGGAAGGAGCTTAGGGGAATCTGCACACAAGCCAAACGAGTCTGAAGTCGCCACACCAAGAATTCATGAGGGCACCCCAAATATGAGAGGACACAAAGTGTGTCTGAAATGTGGCACTACAGTACCACGACTCCAGTCTCTAGCCTAAAACAAAAACCATTTCAGATCAACAGGTGATGAGTCTAGATTATGAGAAGCAACTCATGAGCAAACGAATACCTCTATGGGGCCATGCCACAGCAAGATAAGTAAAAGAGAAAAGGCAATATTCTAAAAATATGTTCTACCTAGACTGAGCTCCATCCATTGTGCAGAGTAAACCTCAGTCCACTGATGAGATGCACGGAACATAGGTGAGAGGAAAGGACAACCGGGCAACTCATTTTGATAAATATGAGTAAATGCACATCCATCTACTTATCCCTCCAATAAGAAAAGACTTTTTGTTTTGAGACAGAGTCTCAAGTATCCCAGACTGGCCTCAAATTAAATTTGTAGCTAAGGATGACCTTGCACTTCTGATCCTTCTCCTCCACCTCCTCAGTGCTGGGCCACCAAGTCTAGTTTATGTGGCACCACGGATTGAATTTGGGGTTTCATACCTGCTAGGCAAGCACTCTATTGACTGAGCTACACCCTCAGCCTAAGAATGGACTTTTTGCATGTCTTTTTCATTTTAGTTTTCAAGAAGTTTTAGATGTTATTTGCATTTTATTTTTTAGGAATTAAAGCATTTTGTTTCCGAAGTAGAAATAATATCTGAGTTTGGAATTGTAACACCAGAGCATAACTGTGTGGGACTGAATTCAAAGTTCAAATATCACAAGTCACAAACAATAATGGGTAAAACAAAACTAGGTAATGGGATCTCTGAACACATAGCTTTAAAATAAATAAATAAATGAGGAAATGAACAAATAAAATACCACCCTACAAAATGGTAAGGAATCACTATGTTGCCTTTGCCCCAACTTGCCCTTTCCTCTAAGACTGTCAACTCTTAAAGAAGAGAAATTTTAGTACAGTGTGTAATTAAGCTCAGATGGGGGGGAGGGGAACTCCTAATTTTAAACCAGCTGTAAGATTTTAAAAGCGTTTTATTGCTAAATTGCAACAACTTAATGATAAAGTAAGATACACTTTTTGTTCCTGGTTTTAAATTAGGAAACCCAGAACAAAAGGGCATTTTGTAAGGTGGAAATTAAGTTCTTTTTACTTTTCAAATAATAATTGGTTCCTCCAAGAATGAAGGTTCTAGAACACTGAGAAAGCATCAAATAAAAGTGGGAAAGAAATGTATTAAATTCATTCTATAGAGAACAGGTAGTCTGGTTTTGCTATTGCTTTAGAGGTGTCCTGGCTTTTTAAAAACTGACAAGAGGGGGCTAGGGAGATGGCTCAGGGGCTAAGAGCACTGACTGCTCTTGCAGAGGACCCGGGTTTGATTCCCAGCACCCACATGGCCGCTACAACCGTCCTTAACTCCAGTTCCAGGGGAATCCGAAGTCCTCTTCTGACCTCCGCGGCATTGCATGACACAGGTGCACTCACATACCTGCAGGCAATACACTCATACACATACAATATAAAAACAATAAATAAAATATTTAAAAGAAAAACTAAAAGAAAAACTGACCAGAGGTCATTGTGGATGAAAGCAACTTCCAGCTTCTGACCTTTGAAATTGAACTAGATTAGGTGACAGCAGTTAGGGCATTTCCTGCCCTAAAATGCTTCCACTTTAGATCTTAGTAAAACTGAAGATAACTGGAGATTACTTCCTTAAGCGAGAAATCTTGCAGGTATAAACAGAGGTGCAAACCAGAGGAAAATGCCTACCTGGATGTGCAGGTCATGGGTCTTGGCGATGTTGCCAAGTTCGCTCATCAGAGTCTCGGTGCAGGAAAGGGAAAAACGTGGGGTCACTATGGGTTTCACCCTTGAATACTGGAAATAATAATTTAAAAAATGGTGAGGAAAATATATGGAGATTGTGAGTACACAGCACATACATAGCAACTTGATTTTACAGCTCGGATTTTGAAGGGTTTCCAACTCTGCTAGTCATCAGAGGTGCTGGGTTCCACGGGCATAGCTCATGGTTGAGAACAGCATATTCTTCAATATCAAGTTCAACAGAAAAAAACCTCTACCTCAAATGATAGACACTCCTTCCCCATTAAAGCTCAGATGAGGTCTGGAGTGGGGATATGGCAAGTGTGGTGGTGGTCTGTTTCCCTGTTTGCATCCTGAGGGGGATTGCTGGCTGAATCCTCCCTCAAAACTGTCTGGTGCCATCTGAGGTGGATGGCTGGCAAGAGAGAAGGTCTTAGAGAGGGTGTTACAGGATAGGATCTACAGGCTCTGTCCCCGACTCATCCAGAGTTAAATTGGAAATCTTGAGCATTCGTCTGGTTTCCAGTCCAGTTGTAAAAGGCAGCAAGGAAAGGGTCAGGCTTGCTGATCTAAGACTCTTATTACCTGGAGCCGTAAACCAGGTTTTGCACTGTGCATAGAAGCAGGAAACAGCACTGTCTGCACAGGCTCTGCAGTGCCAGGGCACTGCAAAGCAATGATGTGCCACATATCTACAGGACAAGGTAGCACGTAGCCAGGGTATTGAGTCCAACACACTTGGTGTCTCAGACCAGACCAGGGAGCAGCAGTGGACAGAACCAACGATGAAGCAGCCACCAAACAGGCCTACCATGTCTATACACCACCTTCCTGCCCTGGCCCATGGGGCCTGCCCTCCCCAGAGGTCAGTCACGAAATTAGAAGATTCCAGATCAGGAAGAGGTGACGCAATGAGAAGAGGAAGGCTGAACTGAGAGAGGCTCTCTGGCCTGAGATTTCTGTAGCTTATGCTATGATCTGGATCTTAAATCCACTCCCCTGCCAAACTCATGTTTTAAATGTTCTCAGCTGACAGCACTACTGGGAGGTGACAGAAACTTTGGGAAGTAGATCAAATAGGAGGAAATAGGTCATGATGGTGTGCCCTTAAAGGGTACAGGTTTTCTCTAGACTCTCTCTCTCCCTCCCTCCCTCCTTCCTGGCAGCTATGAGGAAAGCAGCTTTCCTCCACCAGAAAATACTTCATATATGCTGAACATTTTAATACTGGATAATCAAACCCACCAAACTAAGGCAATTATTCCTGACTGCAAAACTGTGTTACAAAGCAGACACAAAGAGGCTTAAATGCAGTGTCCCATCAACCTTCACTGGAAAGCACATGTAATGAGGCCATGCAGTATTCTTCTGTGTTGGGCTTATTTCATTTAGCATAATATCCTCAAGATTCATCCATGCTGTTACAAATAGCAGGACAATCTTTCTTGTGACCAAATAATATTCCATTGTACATACATATGTATTTACACTTACATACAGAATATGAAAGACATATTGTTATGGTATACATATCACACATGTATGCATGTACACACATACACCTATGCCTATGTCCTTAGTTTTCTTTATCCATTCATTCAGCCATGGATACTAGGGTGTTTCCATATTTTGCTATGATGAATAAAGCTATAGTGAACATGGGGGTGCAGATGTTTCTTCAAGTTACTGGTTTTATTTCTTTTGAATAGTTAGACAATCCATAAAGGGGGATGTCTGGATGTTAATCAAAGGGCACACGTTTTTAGGTATAAAACAACAGGTTCTGGAAGATTTTGTGCAGTCCTCATATTAGATATGTTCATTAATGTCATTGTGATCACCACTGAACAGTGGATGTGTACAACAAACCACCACACTATACACCTCGATACTCAAATGTTTATTTGTCAGACACTTTCCATTTTTCAAAGATCTGACCTCACTGAGCTGAGCTGTTAGATACACTGTACCAACAAGGAAAAGTTCTACGAAAATAATTCTTCATGCATAGAATAAGCCAAATGTACACAGATTAATCTAGCAAACAACTTAGCAAATCCCATAACTAACAAAAGGCACTCCAAATGCAAACTCAACAAATTTACTTACATTCCTTTGAAGCATTTCGGACACAAACCTGAAATGAAGCAACAAATGAGAAGTTAGAAAAGTTAAACATTTTCAAATAAATGTTTTGAAAGGGTGAAAACATGATCCTTATATGTCCTGATTTCCATGCAAATATTTCTAACAGTGCATGTTTTGCCACCACTAATAAGAGATTTACAATCAGTAATTACTTGGCTTTCTCTTTGGCAGCAAAAGATGGAGAGGAAAATCCCAGGGAGTGTTATTGTGCAGCATCAGCTGGGTCATTCTGGAGCTTTCCCAAACCCTCTGGGTGGGTGCGCTATTTCTAATTCCCCTAAAGTGGGAGTTACTCATTCACACGGTATCACCATCGATTTCCAAGAGTCCAGGAAGGGGTGGGTACCAAAGTTAAGGTGAAGGATTCCGCCAGAGGTGGCTGTGAAGAGTGTGTGTGGCATGGGACCCTGGTGGTCCTGCCTCTTCTACTCCCCTGAACAGCAACAGCTGTCCTGTGCAATGGATATGTCTGCCCTCACCTGAAAAGATGACTGCTCGCTAGTTTTTTGCCTTCTGGTGTTCTTTCTTTCAAAATAAAGAGTAAATTAAGATACTGGGGATGTAGGTCTATGATTGACACTTACCAAGCATGAAAAAGTCATACACTCCATCTCCAGCCCCAGGACAAACAAATTGTGAATTAAGGTTTGTGGTGGACACAAAAGTGGATTGTGGAACTCCTGGACCAATGCTAAAAGGTGGAGGAGGTCCTTCCCCCTCTCCATAAACATGCAGAAGCCCCTCCTCTGTACCCTTCTTGGGGGACATGCATGAAGTGAGAGAAGCCCAGAAATGGAAACAACGTTGAATTCTCACACTAGGATAGGCTGCTTTCTGAGGAAAGAACATAGCTAAGGAAACGTCTGTGTATCTCTTGAAAGTAGAAAATAATACAATAAATTTCCTGGGCAAATATGCCAGGTAATATGGAAAAGCCATTAAAGACCAGGTAAGAAAAATGCCTATATGATCAATAGAATGTTCCAATGTTCTATGAAATTGAATATAATGAAAACTCATGACTCAAAAATTCTACGACCTACAATAAAAAGTAGTTGGGTTTGTGGGTATGATAAAGGATTTTATATGTATGTATAAAAATATCATAATGAATGCCATTATTTTGTGCAATTAGCTTTTTAAGTAATTTAATGATTAGGGCATATATATTTAAAAATAAATCTGATCTGCTGGAGAAGCCTTGACCTATAATGTAGGATAGTGAGAAGGTATATTTTTTTAAAAAAAATAAGAATCTTTCATTTATGGGGTTGGTAAGAAGGCTCAGTGGGTAAAAGCATTTGCTATGCAAGCATGAAAACCTGAGTTCAAATCTCCAGCACCCATGTAAAAACCTGAGAGCTTACTGGCTGACCAGCCTAGCTGAAATGGTAAGCTTCCAGTTCAGCGAGAGATGTTTTAAGGGAATAAAGACAGTGATAGACCAGGACACCTGATGTCCTCCTCTGGCTTCTGTGAGTATGGACACATGCCCTGAAAACACACACGAATGAACATGCAATCTAAAGGAACACTCCAATTTTATGAAGTTGGTAAATATACCCAGCGACACTGGAATTCTAGAAGAAGGGCTTCATTCCTTTTCCAGCTTTAATTTTACATCATCAGAAAATTCTAGCATGGGCTACTGCATCTTGAGATTCCTGGACTTTAAAACAATTGCTTCAGCTATGTGGGATGAGGGGGAAAGGTGTGCTAGACACATTGAAGGGACACTACCGAGAAGGAGAAAGCCTAGAATCTGGAATGCACACCACTTTATGCTTGCAAAGTCTGTCAAAAATCACTTCTGAATTTTGAGTTTCAAAAATATGTACTTAGAAAACCAGTCATTCCTACTCAACTCTTACTTAAAGGGATGGTCAACTCCAACATACGTCCATTTTTCAGTCATTTTGTTGAAGCATAATCTGCCTATCATGAGGTTCATCTGTTTTAAGTGCTCTGTTCAATAACTTTATCAAGTTTGCTGAGTTGGGGAGTTATAGCATTAATACAGCCTTTGAATTCTTAGCACCCAGTGAGACCCACTGGTTCATATGTAGGTGATAGTCAGTCCTCCCCCAGCACCAGGAAGCCTCTCTCTGTCTCTGTGAAGTTGCCTTTTGCGGTTGGTTTGTCTTAGAATATTACTTTTAAAATTCATCCATGTTGTAGCACATGTCAGCATGCCATTTCTTTTCATATTTGAGCAATTTCATTGCATACCACATTTTTTGGATCTATTCACCTGTAGGCATGTCAGGTATGGTCCAAGCCCTCAAAATGACCTTGGTGATACACTTCTTTCCTCTTTCTCTCCTTCAGTTCTCAGAGTAACCATAGAAGGGCAACAGATATGACATCCTGAGATAGGATAGCTGGACAGGTCAGCCTGGGCTCATTCTAGCTCCTCCCTAAATAGGATGCCCTCACTCTTTAACCCAGCAGGCAAGTGTCCCCACGGAATAAAATCTCAGATGAAGTGGTTTGGGGGAATTGCTGTGTGGTGCAATGTGGGAAGTGTGCAGACGAGACTCCATCTATCTTGGGCGGCTCTTCTGAGTCCTGAAAACAGAATCCTAAGCTTCTGTTCTATCTGCCTATTCTATTCTGCCTACCTATGAGTAGGCCTTGCTTCTCTGAACTTGCAGTGTAGCATTCTGTGTCTCCCCACATTCTCTCAAGCAGATTAATATTTGAGATGTGCTTGGCGCCCTGCCCCGGGATTGGCATTGGTGCACGGGGAAACCTCCTTCATATCTGTCATCTGTGAGTAACACCACGATGACCAGTCACATTCACGTCTTCACGGGGGATGTTTCAGTGTCTTTGTTCACACCAAGTTTTTACATTTCTCTCTGCATATGGGACTCCATCTTTTGAGACGAAGATGACCCCAAAACAGGCTGTTCACACCCTTTGGTGGACCCACTCTAGGCCTAATCGGAACAGAGCAGGCTTTGGTCCCTACCATTGTATCTCTTTAGCTTGTGTGTCACCACTGAGCGGCCTCGGAACCTTTTTTGTAAGTAAACGAGGCTCTGCCTCCTGAGAGTCCACAGATGTGGAACCAAGACACGGAAAGACCGTGGCCTTCCTGTTACATCTGACTTCACCTTTGGCAGGTGTCCTTTCAGGCCACAGTTCTGGAGAGGGGACATTCTAATTCCCTATGGGAATACGTTATGGTTATTCCAGTACATGTGTAGAACTATTCTCTTCCTATGGCAAGGCAAACTCATAATGAGGGATGGACATACCACCTTGAGAACTCACTAAAAGGGCACAGGGTGAACTCTCACACTGGTACTTTAAGTGGTTTCAGGTGTGAAAATGTTCTCTGCTTTTGTACGTTTTTGGTTTCTCAAGCTTCATGCGAGGGGAGCACGTATTCTTTGGTTATTTAAAAAAGTAATTTTGTTTTGATTTTGAGACAAGGTCTCATTATGTAGCTCAGGCTGGCCTAGAACTCATGTTCCTTCTAGTTCAGTCTCCTGAGTACTTAAAGGAGCCGCCATTTCTGACTGAGACACTTTTACTGAAATGTCTTCCATTAATCTACCAATGTAACATTCCCTAGCTTCCTATGTTTCATTCCAGAAGCGATTTAAGCTGCCGTCGTTCTTGAGTGTGCACAGCACAACAAATGCTCTCGAATGTCTTCTGCTTCTCAGCCTCTTTTCACATTGACTAGAAGATAGGATCCATGTCTACTAGAAGGAACTCTAGAGTCATGGAGCATGGCATTTTTTAAATCCTGGCTTTGCCACTTTAATCTATGTGACTAACATGGTTCTGATGTGTGTCCCTCAAAGGTCTATGTGCCAAAGCTTGATCCCCAAGGTGGTACCATTGGGAGGTAGTGTGTTATGGAGGTGTGGTCAAGGGTGAGCTTTAGGCTTTTGGGGCATGTGCTCCTAGGGGCATTTTGGAATTCTGGTCAGTCTTCTCTTTCTGTCTGTCCTGGCTCAGATGAGCAGTGTACTCCACCATGCAGTCCCCTGTGATGGGCTGTGTCACCAAAGGCACAGGGGCACTAGATCATATACCTGAACCTCAAGGACCATGAGCCCAAAGAAAGTGTTTCTCTTTATAAGTTGATTGTTTTTGGTGTTTCACTAGAGAACGGGAAACAGACAACTCCAGTGACTGTGAGCAAGTCACTTAGACTATGTCAGGCTCAGTTTTCTTATCATAAAAGACAGACACCTCATGGAGATGTTCATGAGGATCAAGTGTGGCACTGAGAGGAAGGCTCTATGAGCTATTGACTCCATCCCATGTTTGAGCAGACTTGCTGCAGTCTAAGTACAGAATTAGCAATAAGCAGAATATTCCAAGTTATTTTACACAGATTCCCAACTCGCTCACAATGTTGTTTACATTTTTCTCTCCAATCAGGGCAGCCAATGACTCACTCAAAAGACAGATCAAGACACCCGAGCAATGCTACCTCTCTGTTTCCTTGATTGACTCCTCAGTGGTCTCCTTGTATTCCGGAACCGTGTCATTCAAATCCATGCATACCTTGCCCACAAATGCTCGCTGCCCAAATTTGTCTGTGAAGCACACAGAAAAAGAGTCTGAAGATGTGTTTCATTTTCAAAGAGTATTTTCCCCAAGGCTTCTAAAACACTTTAAAATTAAAATTATTGTTTAAAAAAAAGCCCACAGTGAGAATGTTAAGGACCATGTCTTTTCACATCACAACAAAACCACTAAAGTCCATGAATAACATTTCCTCCTTCTGCCTCCCATCCCACCCCCAGGCTCCAGGTAATAACTGGGTATTTTATGCTTCTTATCTCCCTTTTCCTTTAGCTTGTACAGCTGGTCTATATGTTTATTAACACTACCCTGTCCTGGGTGCCATTTAATTTCATGGTAGATGGGCAGATAACCTCAGATCCTAGAGAAACACATTTCTCTTTTCCCTCTATTCAGTGTTTCCCATCTGACTTTCTTGCCTCCCTCGGATTGAGTGTCTCTTTGTGTAGGCGATATTCCTTTTCTAAGTAAAACGCATGGTGAAAAGTTAAGAATATGCATGCTGGTTGACAGACTTGGGTTTGGTTCCTTGCCCCTGTGATTACTCCAGGACAGCAGATGTTTTCTGAGATTCAGACTTGTTTGTCTCAGAGTCCTCTGCAGTGTGCACCAAATATGCATAAGGTGCTTGGCTCACGATGCTCAGGTACTCTACTACTGTTCTTTTTAACTGCAGCCATATTCGTATTATTATCTTTGTCTGAATACCTGGCAGCCAGCACTGACGGGCCTAGTCTTCATAAGACATGTTGGAAGAATTCCGTTACAGCTAGAAAACTGGAGCTATGTTGAGCAGGGTTAATTGTTTTACTACGTCTCCCTGCTGTCATAAGTCTTTCAAAAAGACTTTCTGCCTCCCTCTGTCCCTAGAATTTATTTTAATAACTGGCCATTAGAGTAATCTCCCTTAAAATGCCACCTTGTTTTAGTCTCTGATGCATGTTGGAGCCCATCTGCCTCGCCTCCTCTCCCAGCTGACCTTGAAAAAAGCCTCCCCTGCATTAAGTTGTGATGTTTCCTACATCCTGCCTCTTCCATCAACATTCCTGTCCCCACTCCTCTGTCTACCTACTTCCTCTGCTTAGGAGACATTTTACTCTGTCCCCATTTTGTCTTCCTGCAGTGAAAGGGCTCTTCCATGAAGTCCTCCCAGACAGAGCTCTCTTTGCCTCTTCTAAAAACCTCCATTTTTGTTTTCAGCATCACCCATTGGGCCTTTGGCACGAACTACCTCAGACTCCAACAGTGTGGTAAATACATCAGCCAACAGTGATTACCAAGTACCTGCTCTATGCCAGGCACTGTGCTGGGTACAAGTGTGGAATCATCAACCTAAATCCAGTTTAATTATGCTTTTCAGCTATGTAACCATGGCACATGAACTGCTCTGAGCATCAGCTCATCGGTACTACAAGGTCATCAGTAGATGTCAAATGGCTATTTGCAACTGAGTACTTTGTACAATGCCTGGCACCTACTAACAGAACCACAGATGCTGCTAAGATTATTAATCAATGGATGTGAGTATTCTGTCTGGTTTTTCCAAGGCAGAGATTAGTTTCTATGATATTCTGTTCCCAGCAACTAATACAATGCCCTGAATCTAGCTAACAGCCAAGACCTGTCTGTTGATTATAATGTAATGAACTGTTGCCATAGCTACATCAGTGTGCTCTATAAAGCCCTAAATTAATGCACAAAATTCAGATCTATAGATATCATTCTGGAACCAGAAGCCACACAGAAATAATCAAATTATTTAAGCAAAATAATCATCCAAGGGCAATGATATTCACAGAAACTTAATTACTTGCGAAATGCAATGTTCAAATTCTAAGACTTGAAAGGTACAGCTGCCCACCAAGTATAAATTGTTACCAGACATGGTCTGGCTGTCTCTGCTTAACCTGCCCATAAATCCTGCTTTCAGCTGCTCACCTGTAATTTCTGCAAGGAGCAGAGATGAGTCAGTGTGAATTGTTCCGAAGTAGCAAGCTGTAGTTGTTCCATTCTTCAATGTTCTCCTCTAAAAATAAATCACAAAAATCCTGAATTGCATGTGCTCAGAAAAGTCACATGGCATGTGCGGATGAAAATAGAATTCTGGTTTTTATTTTAAAATGTGCTTATTTAAAGGTATGCCATCTTGATGCAGAATATACTTAAGTAAATGGCAAAAGTATTTATATTCCAAAAATGTTCGCTGAGGGAAAAGTTGGTATTTTTGATTTCCTAGATTCACATAGTTCTGTGTTCTAGAATTCATATAATGCAATGCCAACTGTTCCTTGTTTCTTGGGATTGTTTGAGGCTATCCAAATCTTATTACAGCTGCAAGTACATAAATGAGATTTTTCTAGTATTACAAGTAAAATTATTCATCCAGATTTCCAGTTCGATCTGGCAGACTGATCACTGCAGCTTTCATTTTTCCTTAGCAATTTTTCACTAGCCTAACAAGAAATGAGTAGAAATTGATTGACCCCCAAGAAGAACACAGAATGAGTGACTATCGGTGAGCGCTGGCAGGACTCTCACTAGAAGTCTGTGTAGACAACTAAACCCTAGTAGGATTCTTCTCCTCTCTATTGAAGTCACCCAACCACTCTTAACCTGCTCTGTGTAGGGATGAGGTGCTCTTTGTAGAAACTGGGAAGTATTTAAAGGGCACAAGTCTCCCAAAAACAAGATGAAGAGTAGGTTCATGTGGAGATGGAGCTGGCCTCTAGGGTCTTCAGTCTCTCTTCCCTAGAATACTACATGTGTCACTCCTGAAGGGGCTGAAGAATTCTTCCTAGTGGTTCACTGTACCCAAAGTTCATCTTATTATGGGGTTTACCAATTAGACAATGTTGACCCAGATGTGAGGGGAAACCCTCCAGCCTGGGCTCTGGGAAAGAGAAATTTGAACTGAGTGCGAAGGTGTAGTTCCAAATTTGACTGGCGTAGTAAAAACACTAGAAAGTTTGGGAATCTACCCAAATTATAGTCAAGGGAGACAAGGAGTACACAGAGAGGGAAGGGGAGAGAAAGGACAGGAGGAAGGGGGAGGAATGCTAACTTGATTACACAGAGGTCAACACCACCCTCATCTCTTCCAGCTCTCAGCATGTGTGGGCCTGCTGCTAGTCATAACCACGCACCTCCTGCAAATACTTGTCAGGAGTACAACCTATTCTGAACCCACTGACATGTGGGCCTGCTGCTAGTCATAACCACAGGGTGCACCTCCTGCAAATACTTGTCAGGAGTACAACCTATTCTGAACCCACTGACATCAACTACCTAAATTTCTGTTATAAGAAATATGTATGTATATTGTCAGCAGTGTCTCTCAACTCTCAAACATAGAAATCTGATACAGCTGGATTTTTCCTCTCTCTCTCTCTCTCTCTCTCTCTCTCTCTCTCTCTGTCTCCTGCCTCCACATATTTATAAATGTATTTTGACAGCACATACACATTAAGTAATACTAGAACTAATTTTCTTAAACTAGTATAAAGAATAGATATGTTTTACCCCAATGAATGCTATTTTCAAAATCCTATGCGCAGTGCAAATTTTGTTCCTGATTTCCCAGTCTGGATCAGGTGCCGGAAACTTAGAGCTGAATTTGTGGCAGACGCTACCAAGAGCATACATTGACTTCTGGGTTTTATTTTTCCACTCTCCTCATTTTCCTTTTCTGTGATTTGATGACTCATTTTCTTTTGTTGCACACTATGCAATTTTAAGCTATTTCAAACTCCTTTTTGAACAATGTGAGGTATAAATAAATTTTTAGAATAAAGATTTAGTGTGGTTAACAATTCATTAACACAGTGTGCTGGCCAATTCATACCTAGCTTTTAGCCCATCTCAGTTTTTCTGGTGTCCGGTGGATGCATGCTAAATATGTAAGACTTACAACTATAATTAATTAAGACAAGTGAATAAATGTAACCACTTGCTTCTACTCTTTGGCTAGAATGATGGAAAATCAAGGAAACTGGCAGGATGGCTGGGCCAGTCCCTAGGAAGGTTGGTAGCCAAAACCTTAGGAGAGCTACCAGTAAGTCCAACCAAAGTCCAGGAATGTAGACCAAGCGTAAACAGCAGGATGCAGAGGCCAGATGAAAGGCCCCTTGCAGCTCTAACTTCTTTACTGCTGAAGGTTATCCATTAGCTGAGTGTGCTCTCATTCTGGGCATAAGATTGGAGCTGATTTTCACAAAAGAGTAGAAGGTGGGACATTTCACAGCCTTCAATAGGCAGTAAGCACAGGCTGCAGCCAGTGTCTGAACTGGGCCCAGAGTTCCCTCTAGTGGTGTCAGTCCTCACATCACATTCTCACCCGCCCTTCCATATGGGATCATCTTATTTTCTCCTCTTTGCAAACCTACGAAAAGAATGTGATATCCTTCCAAAAGTAATTTAGATTTTTAAATTTTCTTGATCATTTAAATTAAAAAACCAAACAGCTCTTACCATGTGCAAGGTATTAAGAACCTCACAAGTATTAACCTGGTGAATGATCACAACAATCCTATACAAATATCATTAGTTCTGTCTTTTACCAGTGGGGAAAGTGAGTCACAGAAGTCTTCAAGGGTCACACTGTTATTGGGGATGGACCTCGTAGCAGCAGTATGAATTGGCTGCAGTGAGAGAATGGACACATGCATTAAACCCCAGGTTGGTGATGCAAGGAGCGTGATGTAGAGCCCACCAGGCTAGGGGTAGGGAAATCAGATTCAAATTTCTCTCTGTGTCACTGTGAAGGTGACATGCTTAGTGGATTATAAAAGGACTTAGAGACGTTGCCATGGCCTATGCTCTATAAGTTAAATCTCATCCTAGATATGGATGTTTCTGTTGATGACCAAGCATAACTCAAAACTCACACCCAGGATACGTACAACAACTCTGGTATAGACTTCTTCAGCAAGTTCAATGCTCTGGAACTTTAGTTCTGTAGGGAATGTGTAGTGGGTCAGCCACTCCAAAAGTGGCAGGTCTACGTTGCTTCCAGCGAAGGAATACTGAGGGGCATGGAGGTGTGTGTCAACGAGCCCAGGCATGAAGAACTCACTGGAAATTAACATGAGAGGAAAATCACTTAATAGCATCTCTAGACATTTCCTGCATCTTTGAAAACCACATTTCCTCTTGACAATTGTTTTTTTTTTAATTTTACAAAAACTTTATTGAGAATTTCATACATGCATATAAGGTGTTTTGAACAAATCCATGCCCACTCCCTCCCCTCCAACATTTCCCCCTGTCTGAAGAGGCAACCCTAAAATCTTTAAGGATTAGATACAAGCTCCCAAATACTTTTGACATTTTTGGCCTTTGGAACAGGGTATGTTGCTAACAGGTCCAAGAACATTTTGACTTTTAGCCAAGAAACTGGGGTTTTGGGGGTCTTTTTACGCTAACTGCCTAGCCAATTCCTAACTGCTATTTTTTTAAAATCATTTTTGTTAATTTTTAATAACTACATGATTAGAAGACACACAGACTGCTCTGGCTTCTTCCATGCTGAACAGGGTTGCAGAGTGAGGCAATTGGAGTACCCCTTCAGTGGGTCTATCTAAAAGACTCCCAAATTGCATAGCTCTTGTCTCTAGGGGGAAAAGAAAGTCCTTGAATCATGAATAGGAGATGTGAAGAAGTAAAGGCAAGAATAATTAGCATTACAAGTTCTAGACAGGGAACTAGAAAAAAGTCAGAACAGGGCAATTTTCAAATGTTCAAATGAGAGTCCATTGGAGTTTCTTGACAAGGGCTTCCAAAAGCATCCCTCTATTGGGTTCCTCCTCATTTTTCTTTTGTCTTCCAAGGCTGGACTAGTTGGCTGGGAAGAGTGGCTGGATATTCAGGTGAGGGTCCAGCGACACTGCTTTGTACTCCTTTAATGAATGAACACAACCATCATAGGTTTACAACTATAAGTTCTCCCATTTTAAGAGATTAAAAGTAAGAATAAAGCCCGTTCATAGGGAGAGCACCTAAACTGCAATGACAGGTGCAAGGCTAATCAGAGATGAGGAGGTGGGGGAAGCACAAAATGAGCAGAAGCCAAGCCATTGCGGCAGAAGAGAGGAGAGAAGCTATTTCTGCATCCTACGACTTTGTTCTCACATCTGAACAGAGAGCAGAGGCAGGAGTGAGGTCTTCAAGACTCAAGAACTGGGCTGAGGGACAAGCACACATCGCTAAGGGTGGCTGACGATGAGAAACACAGTGGCTGTCACTTGAGGCTCAATGTCCTTCATCTTGGCAGACTTTAAGAACTCTAGTCCTTCCCCATGTGTACAGGGACTGAGCTCTGAAACAGGAGCAGCAAGGATATGTCTGGGCTCGTTTGAGACCCTTGACCTTAGCAGAAAAAGCCAGAAGTGGGCTGCTGATCTGAGGGTGAAGTGAAGAGGGTCTGTGATGCTGTGACCATCACTCATGCTTTGTCTTTCCTTGTCTCTTCTTTATTTTTGGTACATAACCCAGGCCGGCCTTCCATATATGATCCTCCTGTTTCCACCTCCTATGTGCTGGGATTACAGGCGTGGACCACCACGTCCAGTGTACAGTCATGCTTCTGATCAGCTGTGCTGTCACCACATCCACATTCCTATTCATTCCCATACCAAGAAGTCCTAGATAGATATTTCTAAGTTTTCAGAAGCACTACCCCCAGAAAGGAAGCAGTCCAATGCAAGTAAACATGTCAGGCTCTTCTAAAGAGCTACTTTAGTTCTCCAGAGCATTAACTGATTGAACTCATCCAAACGCCTGTGTGGTAAAAGCTGATGTACACTCCCACTACTCCTAGAGCAACTACAAAAATAACACAAGGAAACTGAACTCAAACTCCGACATCACAAAAAAAATCCCTATATGCACATCCAGATGTGCTTTAATATGCTTTATTTTAAAAAGAGAGCTAGAAATGGTTGTGATGGCAGCTAACACAGAATTTGTGTGTGTTCTAGGAGCTGGACACAGAATCCTGTGTACATTGCATCATTTTTGGCAGGAAGCTTACTAGAGTAGTTAAGTATATACATTCTAGACTCAGACTGCCTGGGTCAGGACCCACCATTAGCCAGAAGTGGGTTATCTGTCACATGACCTAGTCCCTATGTATCTCAGTTTACCCTTAGGAAAATGAGGACAGTATTACCACCACAGAATTGTTGCAAGGACTGAGTTACCATACAAGAGTGGTACCTAGGAAATGGTAAGCATTACTAAATACTAGTGGCAGTTATGACAACACTCAGAGCACATGAAGCGAAAAAGTACTGTCCTCATTTACATAAGGGTAAGTGTAAGCTCAGGAAATCTGAGTAGCTTGAAAAGCTAATCATGCACTAGTGAGCTTTGGGGGGAAGCCTCAACCTAGGCAGCTTACATTTGGGGAAGCCTCACCTAGGCAGCTCACATTTGGGGGAGCCTCACCTAGGCAGCTCACATTTGGGAGAGCCTCACCTAGGCAGCTCACATTTGGTTCAACACTGTCATTCAGTGTACTCCATTTGACAGAATTGTTCATTCACCAAGGACAGACTTTTGAGAAGAAGGCAACACTAAGTGAATCTACTATGCAGGAGCACTTGGGAAGGGAGGGTGAAATGTGTCAGTAACTGACCTCTCTGGGTACCTCAGTCTTTGGGGCTCTTACTTCTTTCACCAGCACAAAGTCAAACAGCAATGATTTTACATGCAGTTAAATGGTCATCAGATGATGCTTCCCAAGTGTCTACACATTTGGAAAACTCAGCAAAGACTTACAGGGAGTTTAAAGGGAAATAAGGCATTTTCTTTTCCTCAAATATTAAGAGAAGAGAGACTGAGACCAAAAGCTAGAGTTAGAGTAAGAGAGCGAAATTAAGAGAGACGATGTAGTCAAATAGAGGATCCTGGTGAGCAATTTCCCTCCTAAGTGTGCAAGAATGTTTACAGTGGCTTTATTTGTATCTTAACCCCAAATTATAAATAATATAAATAACTTTCATGGGAAAAAAAGAAAAACTGTGGCCCAATGGAATATTATTCAACAGTGAAAATATCAACTGCTCTTATACACAGCAACATGGATGAACTTCAAAAGCATGAGGTTAGGGGATGGAGAGATGACTGGGTGAGTAGAGTGCTTGTTAAAGTACAAGGACCAGAATTCAAATCCTCAGCACCCACATAAATGCCAGGCAGGCATGCTGGCCACCTGCAACCCCAGGATGTGGGAACGGGGAGACAGAGGATTTGGATCAGGCTGTCTAGTTAGACTAGTGAAATTGGTGAACTCTGGGGTTCAAGTGGGGGACTGCGTTTCAACATAAAGGTGGAGAATGGCTGAAGAAGATACTCTTTGGCAAATTCTGGCCTCCACATTTTCTCAGACATGGGCACATGGACCCACACGTCAGCATACACACACACACACACACACACACACACACACAAACATATACACGCATGCACACAACAAAGAAAAAATATATAATGTTGAATGGAAGAGTCCAGATACAAAAGAGCAAAATTAGTAACTTTCTATTCTATTGCATTCTATATTGCTATATTATACAGAATAGGCTGTATTCTAATATATGATATTCACGAACATTCAAAGGAATCCAGCTGGTAGCTATCAGTGCTACCTATGAGGGGCTGAAAGTGACCGTGTGGGGCTTGAGGGAACTTTGTAGGATGAATATTTTATGTCTTTATTGCTATGATGGTCACATAGGATACACATGTATCAAAACATTAAATTACACCTGCTATCTTAAGATTTCAATATTAACTTTTTTCTTTAAAAAATGAAGAGTTCAAGGACAGCCTGAGCTATTGAATTCATACCGAATACAAAGCCAGTCTAGGCAGCATAAGACCCTATCTCAAAAAACAATTATTATTTTTTCTTTTAGTAAAGGGTCTAAAGACTTTTAGCATTCAGTTTAGTGAGTAGTCAGCTATTCATCTGATAGCCAAGATGGAGGTGACCATGGGAAAATGTGTTTATTTTTTGTTTCTTGGGAAGATTGTAATATGCTGAACTTCAGGTTAGACTGATGAATCCATCAGGGGTAGGTACAAATTGGGAGTTTCCCGCACTCTCCCACGCATGAAGCTTCTAAATAAAGATTATGGTGATGGGAAGAGAAAAGCAAAGGGTAAATATGAGAGAAAGAACTTCATGTTTATTAGTTCTAAGAAGCAAAGGAGATGAGTCAAAGAGAGCAAAGTTTTGAGCATGCAAGCCTGAAAAAACAAAGTCCAGAGAACCTGGAGGAGGCTCAGGTGTGCAGGTAACAGGACTATGTTATCTGAGCCAATGTCAAAGTATGGTGCAGTGGTCTAGAAGCTTATTTGCACGTGCTGCTTGCCTCCTGGTAAGGGCATGCTTATCTGTATTTAACCTGACAGAGCAAGAGAAAAGGAGCCACATGAGTGCAGAAGCCCCCTGTGTGGGTGGACTCCCTTTATTACAACCTGCTCTCATGAGAACTCACTCACTTGTAAGATCAACATCAATCATTCCAAGTGTGGTCATGAGCCAAGCACTGCCCCACATCTCTCAAAAGTCTCATCACCTCTCAATATCTGTACACTAGGTCACACCTTCAGTACATGAACCTTTGACGACACACTCAGATCACATCTAGTCCCTAGCATGTGACCTCTAGGTGTCTGAGAAACCATTGGAGATGTGGGATAAGAGATCACTCAAGTATTAAAGACAGGACTTGGGGTCAAGAAGCTTCTCTACAAGATGCTGGAACCAGAAATGTCTGTGGAAGATAAAAACAAAGCTAAACCTTGAGGAGCACCACCTGCTTAAGGGGAAGAGCAGAGGAGGAGAAGGTCACCGTTTGCCCTGGCAGAACTGTGGTCAGGAGTATAGAAGGGACCTGAGACACAGAGGTGCCACAGTAACAAAGGAGGTAGTGAAGTTACCAGTGACAAAAACCCAGAAGGCAAAGAGGTGCAACTCAGAAAAGACCCTGGGACCCCCAAATGTAATGACAGGGAGAGATTCGAGTTCCAAAGGATTCACGCCTTAGCACTCCTTGAATCTCTGCCGGCTTTAGTTCTCTGTCCAAGGTCCTGAGAAGTGATGCCCTTGAAATGTGGATAATAAAGAATTTGGCAAGTATTTTTAAATATTTGGTAGTAGAAGTTAGGATGGAAGAATACAAGTGACTGCATTTTTTCATGCAGGGTAAATCTGAGTGTGCTTATCAGAGGCAGAAGTGTGAGTGCAAAGGGGTACATTTGGAGTCCTAAAGGAGCGGGGGAAGAGCAGGGGCTTCCTGAGCCCAAGGGTCGTGACTTTCACTTACAAAACGAGCATCAGGAAAAGTCCATTAACAGAGAGGATCACATACTCAAGGTTGAGTGAGATTTGCCATAGAGAACAGAACACAGGAGAGTGTGAAATGTGGGAGGTGCACATGGGATGAAGTGCTCAGGGTCACCACCTCATCTTACAGAGAGTGAGAGGAAGCTCAGCAACACAAGCTGGTTATAGACTTACAACCTCTTAGTGGCTCTACTGAGCTCAGAACTCAGTTTTCTGCTCATGAAATCACTTAGAGCTGGACTGTAGCTATCAAGAGTCAACTGCAGGCAGAGCAGAGATGTGGTCCACAGGCAACACCAGGAGGAGGTGAGACAGCTCTCCCTTAACCCTTCATGCTTCAACTTCCCCCTTTCAGCATAATTCCCTTAGAACATCAGCTTCATATTTCAAACTTGAAGGGTTGGACTAACCTCATAATAACTTAAGAAAAATATATACACCTATATACAGTAATCTGAACACCTACTCATCTTTTATGTTTATTTTAATTTAATCTTTATTTTTGTATTTCTGGGAATTAAACCCAGGGTTTCACATATAATAAGCACAGCTGTTACCACTATACCACTAACCTACATTCACAGTTCATGCCTCTCTCTCTTTCTCCCTCCCTCCTCCTCCTTTCTTTTTTTTTTTTTTTTTTTTTCTGAAACAAGGTCTCAATATGTAACCCAGACTAGCCTTGAACTAGCAGTTCTCCTGTCTCGCTCAGCCTCCCGAGTTCTGGGATTACTGTGACACCAGCGGTTTCACCTGTCTTCTAAGTAAATGGAGAACACCTATAGAAGCTGTGCACTGAGAATAGTGACTGTACATCAAGGGCTGTGTCACCTAGCATGTTTGCATACCACCATCACTCATCAATCTGCCTGCAGGGACAGGATGGACCTATGAGCTGGGGAGTCCTAGGTTGTTTAAAAAGGGCTGTTCCACTACACAAATTAATACAAGCCCATAAAGCTAAAAATCATGTCTTTAAAGTTTGGGCATTTTGTTCATCTTGAACTTTCACATTGTCATTTAAAAAAAAATATTGCAGGAAAGTAGTATTTCTCTTGGTTTATGAGGGCATTTTTCCTTCATTGTAGCTTTAAAATTTTGTACCTGAAGTAAATGCCTCATGCCCTTGTTCATAGTCAGACCCACTCCGACCAGAGCACTGCCCATGATTTACAACTCCAGTTGTAATTGCCCTCGTTTAAAAAAATCTACATTGTACTATGATGTATCTGTGGATGGAGTAGATGTCAAAGTGTCAGAGACATTATCTTCTAGAGTATTTTAATAGTGGCATAAAGAAATGGAACACGACTTATGCATTGGTAATATTCTGCATTATAGATGTGATTTTTTTTCAAAGCCCAGTCTTGAACCACAATTTAAATCATGTTTTATCATTTTTATGTGGATTGATCACAGAGTCCTAGAATCAGCAAGTTTTATAAATTTAGCTCCAAAAGAAGCCTCATAAAGAAATACAAAAGTATTTAAAGGTCCAAAGATATCTTTAACTCCACCCCTTCCATTATCCAACTATGCCCCCATCTCTTCCCAACCTCCATGCCACCCACTTCTGAGTCTCCTTTAGATCCCACATCACGAAGACCAGAGAGCAGGTGATTATAAAGCCCTTGTTCTTTAGCATGGATTCTGATGGAAATTCAGCAGGAAGAAAGGACAGTAACATCAGGGTTGCGGGTCCTAAGGGCCATGCTTACTCCCTACTTCCAACTTCTTAGAGGTTGCAGGGAGGGAGAAGGAGACAGGGAAGTGAGCATGCCTTCAAGGGCCACAGAACTCTATGGACAGTCACCTGCCCCTCCAGAAACTAGCTTCATAGTTGAAATGAACTCAAAGAAGGGAAGTGGCTTACATTCTGTTTAACAGCTGCAAAGCTTTAGCATAAAGATCCAAAATAGGTGCTTTTATTACTAATTCAGTGCTCCTCTCACTACAATATCCTCAAGTTAATTTCCAAGTTATAGAAGTATTTTCAGAACGAAAATGATGGTGCCACCTTATTGGCTTTGGAAACATAGTTAGCCCGATACACACTAAAATATTTGAGCTTAAGACAAGCATTCTCATGTGTATAAAACAAGTCAACCAGGTTATGGAGACATTAGTGACCACAAAATATCCAACTCAGATGCACTCTGGACATAGGTCTTCCCTAAATGTGATAGCTAAGTGTTTGCCTCTCAGACTCAGTTTTCTAAGAGTTCACCTGTCTTTCCCCTGTCCTCCCCCATGTATCTGCTTACATGGGGCTGAAGTTTTTCAAGATCCTAGCATGGGGAATGAAGGGCACAACAAATATTGGTGGAGAAATAAAGGAACGATGGCAACCTCTGGTCCTCAAAGTTTCTGTCCCTCAGATTCTGACTCTCTCCTTACCTCTCCTTCCCATCTTCCCCACTGAATATTCAGCTGAGTAATTTAGAAGCTCCCACAGTGTCTCAATGCACATTTCCTACCACTGAACCTCAATAATGGGTTCCAGAAAAAGGGAAGACGTTGGTGGAGACTTACTGGTGGCTCAGTTCTCTTACTTCACATGGCTTGAAGCACCATTCTTTGGCCAGTTTTTCTTGCTGAGATGCCTCTTCTAAAAACACTATCTTTAAAAGAGAAAGAAAAGAATTACATAATGAATCATAGCCATTTGTTGACACTAGATGCATAAATGTTTTCAAAGGAGACGATACTGCTGCTGAGTTAATTTTAAAGGATACTTGGTACCAAATAGGATGAGTTTAGAGACAGAAAAATGACAGGAATTTGTGTTTCGTTGCCCATAGAAGTAAACAGTGTATATCTTCTCTTCTGCCAAAATATAGACCTGAGACTTTAGGCACGCTTGTGTGAAGACACAAGACACATTCAACTGGTATCATTTTTTTTCCTCATCGATGAAAATGATTAAAGAAAACATAGTTATGGAAAATATCTCACTTTAGCCTAATTAAAGATTTTTTTTTTGTTAGACTGTTATGGGAAACCAAATCTACAGTACAGAGTGATATTTTGAGATAACTCTCTAACATTAAATATAAGTACACATAATAATTGCCTGACAATAGTCTTAGCCTGAACTGTATTGAGATTCATATGCTGTACCTTGTCTGCCAAGAGACATCTGTGTATTTCTAGTATCACGTATAAGAGACTCAATAGTGAAGTAAATAAGAAAGGGCCCCCTCGAGTTAGGGGCCTCGTCCTCTCTCTTAGTCTGGCTTGTGAAGAATAAATATGATAATTCTGGTGATGAAATTAGCATGTCAGTGAATACATTAAATAATATATTTATATATTGCTATTCTGTACAATGTGATTGTTTTCTCTATAACATTAGATTGTTTAAGCAAGAAAAGATATGAAATTTGTATCCAGGAAGCAGTCTGTGGTTCTTTGTTTGTTTTATTGTTCCTCTGCTGGGGATTTAATATAAGACATGTCATGATAAGCAGGTGCTCTACCACCTAGCTAAGTTCCAAGTCCCTTCCGGTGTTAATTTTATATGCAGTATTGTGAGAAAAAGAGTTTCATTGAAAACAAAAATTTGGAAAAAATTCTAAAAGATGAAATTTGTTTACCAAGTGATAATTAAGATAATATATCACAGGAAAAAATAATTAGTGAAACTGAAAAGAAAATAAATGTTTGTTTCTTTATTCATGAGACATATCTTTTAAAAAATTGAAATGCTGGGGCTGGAGAGATGGCTCAGCGGTTAAGAACACCGACTATTCTTGAAGAAGACCTGGGTTCAAATCCCAGCACCCAAATGGCAGCCAACAACCATCTGTAACTCCAGTTCTAGGGGATTCGACAGCCTCTTCTGTCCTCTGCGGGCACTGCATGACACAGGTGCACTTACCTACATGCAGGCATAACACTCATACACATAAAATAAAAATAATGAATAAATTAAAAATTGAAATATTGACCAGAATTCCTAAATTGAAATAATTTGATGATTATAAAGTTATAACGGAATCAATAAACATTTAAAAAGAAGACAATATTCATCAAAGTCTGTACATAATTATTCAAAAACCATATAAGCAGAATCCATCAATTCTTTTCTCAAAGGTGATATATATATATATATATATGAAGCATATTAAGAGTATCTTTGACCAAAATATAAATGAACAAAGTTTATTCTGGAGAGATGAAAAACGAAGTGAGGAAACGGGAAGTTTTGCTAGCCCTGTGAGAAGCTCAGGATCAACAGTGCTATCCAAGGCAAAAATGCCCTTCACAGATGCAAACTCGTATGTAATTTTATATAATAGCAAGACTCAAAGTGTAAAAAGAAGCAGGCCAAAGAACTTTTAATAATGTTTTAACATTTATGTTCTAACATTAAATAACATATATGGTATATGTATGAGTCTCAACCTGAAATCAAAATAAATGTTTTTTTCATTTGGGGGGAACTTAGTCTTTAAAATTATATTTTTCATTTGGAATGTATTTCAATCTGGTTGCTAAATTTTTTTAAAGATTTATTTATTTTTATTTTATGTGTATGAGTGTTTTGTTTGCATGTATGTAAGTATACTACATGCATGCAGTGTCCACGGAGCCCAGAACAGGGCATCAGATCCCCTGGAACGGCAGGACAGTTATTAGCAGCCTTGTGAGTGCTGGAAACTGAACCTGAGTCCTCTGCAAGAGCAGCCAGTGCTCTTAACCACCATCTTTCCAGCTCCTAGCTTCTATCTTAAATAATTAATATGTATGTTTGGATGGCATGTAATTTGCAAAAAGTAGGCTCACATACCCAAGTTGCTTCAAACACACTTAAATCTCTTCAAAACTGAAATGAGCATTAACTTTTAAATGCAAATTTTAATTAATTTTATTAAAATTAAATTTTAAATTTTAAATAAAATAATCACATCTCATATGTGACTAGTTACTGCTAAATTGGAAGATACAAGTTCAGAGAATTTTATAACCAAGGCACAGAATTCTTTGCTAGGTAAAGGACTGTAAAATATGGAGAAAAAAGTAGAAAACTTTCTATTTGTGCAAAGTTAGAACTTTCTTCTTACCAAAACTTAACTAAGCACTTGCACAAACATTGGTCTACAGAGAGAAAAATGACAAACCATTTCTATTTATTATTAGTAATACTGACGTAAAAAATGTAGGCATAAGAAAACAGCAGACATCGGGAGAAGCTGCTCTGTTTGTCCATCTTCATCACAACAGTTTTCTCTTGAAGACATGGCACCTCAAAGGCCAGGAATTCATATTTCAGAGTGAAGCAGTGAGTTTGGAACCCTGAGCCCCTGTGGCCCTTTCCAATCTAGTCCCTCCAGCTTTCTATAAAGAAACATCTCTCCGCTTTCCATTTCAAGAGTCTCTCTCCTCTTTCTATGATCGTCTTCGCCAAGCTTTCCCGTATTCTTCAAATTCCTTGATACCTATCTCGGAAAACTGCCTACTGTGAGCCCCGATCTGCTCCTATGCCTGCAACCCTTCAGGAGGCTGCAGACTCTTCTACGGACTCATCCCAGGCGGGTTCCTCTGCTTCACTGCTGCTGCAGCGCTCCCATGACACTAACTGCTCCGCCCGCAAAGCTACCGAGCTGCTTATCTGACCACACATTGCTGCCTTTCCTGCTTCATACTTCAGACACCAAGTTTGCACCTGAAAGAGGCCTGCCTTTCCTTTTTCTTATTTTTCCCAGCCTGCTAGCCAAGTTCTTTGACCAATTCCCTTTTCAGGTTGGATTCCACCATTCATTAATTCATGTGCCCATTTTTGTTGATGTACATCTAGTGAATTGTAATCTGGATGGAACTCAAATTTCCCTTTCTCTGAGCTGCACCTGTATAGCCAATCACTGTTGGAGCAAGGTACATAACTTGGAAATAGAAGGGCCATAGTCACCAGGTTCTAATGTGCTCTTATCAATCCCGACGCCTGGCACCCTGCAGCATTTCTGTAGTAGAGTGGTCTTCACTGTCAATAAAATGGGACTGACTGACAGATGAACTTATTATCATCTAACAGAGCATTAAAAATAACTGATGATTATTATATATTTTAATTTAATAATTCCGAAGGACTTCAAAAAGAGCTTTCATTCTCATTCTCTTTATTTATGTGAAAATAGTTTTCAACATTGATATCTATAAAAATGGAAAATAAGGGCTTAAGAGATAGTTTAGTGGTTAAGAGCAAAGGACCCGGGTTCTATTCCCAGCACCCACATGGCAGCTAACGACCATCTGTAACTTCAGTTCCAAAGGAAATTAGAGGCTTTCTTCTGACCTCTGCAGGCATTGCATGACATGGGTGTACTTACATACATGCAGGCAATACACTCATACACATAAAATAAAAATGATAAATAGAATATTTTCAAAAAGTGGAAAATAAGAAAAATAATGCTACCTTGATTTCATTCTCCCAACAAATGATGATCATCAACCCATTTACTAGTAGGAGGGAAAATAGAACATCCTTTTTATTTTACATGTAACGAATTATCTTTCAATATTTGTAATGTATACTTTAAAACTTCCTTGTATTCCTGGTAATGCTTCAACTTATACACATGAGTGGCATTACCATGGCTGGTCAATAAGACCTTCCAGTATAAAATCTATTGTGTCAGTTTAAAACTACAAGGAAATCAGACTAGAATTAGTAACTCAATAGGAATAAAGGACCATATAGCATTTCAGACTATTAAAAAGGAGAAAGTCGACTACTATCCTCAGGCCTCTTGGGGTAAGTCTATAGCTCAGCTCTCCGCGCCGGGACTCCCTAACCCACATTCACCCTTCCATCCCTACCGCAATTCTATACTCCTAGTTTGGGCCCTGCGCAATTCCTAGTCTTGGGGCCCCAGACACCTGGAGAACCAATACTGCTTCCTGATCCTTCTCACCCAGAGCAACTCAGTCCCTTTCTTGGGCTCCACGAGCACCACTTCTAGTCCTGACCCCGCCCTCATCTCTCTCTGCTTCCCTGGGCCTGCACCACCAGCTAACTCTACTAGCCTGCACTACTATCCTCAGGCCTCTTGGGGTAAGTCGATAGCGCAGCTCTCTGCGCCTGGACTCCCTAAGCCACATTCACCCTTCCATCCCCCCGCCTCGCCTTTCTATACTCCTAGTTTGAGCCCTGCGCCATTCCTAGTCTTGGGGCCCCAGACACCTGGGGAACCAATACTGCTTCCTGACCCTTCTCACCCAGAGCAACCCAGTCCCTTTCTTGGGCTTCAGGAGCACCACTTCTGGTCCTGGCCCCGCCCTCACCTCTCACTGCTTCCCTGGGCCTGCACCACCGGCTAACTCTCCTAGCCTGCACTACTATCCTCAGGCCTATTGGGGTAAGTCTACAGCGCAGCTCTACACGCTGGGACTCCCTAAGCCACATTCACCCTTCCATCCCCCCCCGCCT